GTCTGGGTCAACCAGCGCCGCCATACATCACGGAGGTCAACTACTAAGCCACGCCTACCCCCCGCTATTTAAGACCTGACATCGTGGTGATCTCTCTCCTCTTTCTACCTACACCAACCAGCCAGCAACACCTCCTCCTCCTCCGCCTGCCTGGTGGTCCTCGCTCCCGCCGGCGAGCATGGCGACCCACAAGCTGTCCTTCTCTGAGCACCCTCACCAACCAGCTCTCTCTACATCACACTTGTAACCATGCTGCCTTCCCAGCACCAAGCTGCATTTTACAGCCAATACAACATGTATACAGAGAGCACATTGTGAGTTTCCTTTCTCCATCCCATCCTGAGTGTGAACCAACCAACCCATACCCCACATGTGTATGGGTGAATAAATAATGTGTAGGGGAGGGTGGATGGGAGAGAGTGTAGGGGTTGGATAAGTGGGTGTGCGTGTGTGTGTAAGGGAGGGTGGATATCTAGGGAAAGGTCGGTGAAAGTAAACCAAATGTAAAAGTAAACCTTCTTAATATTGTACAAAGCGGCATCATATTTATAACTTGAACCTACAATAACTTAATCAGTCATTGTACAGTAATGAGATCAGATCTATGTACAGAATTTGTGAATTAACCCCTACGTGGTTTCTATATACAGTACGTAATAAATCTAAATAGCTCCCTCTGGTTACCAAAAAGCTAATTTCTGTTTTTGCTGGAAAAGCTGGATAATGATGTCTAAAATCACATGAAATGGTTAGAAAGTGGCAACTCGGTCTCATGATGGCAGTATCGTAGGAATTATTGTGTAGTGTCTTTGTTACCATGGGAACCAGCCCTGGCATTTTAAATCCAATGTTGCCGTGATCTCTGCTTGACCTGGGAGACATATCACTCCGAATTTACTTTATATTACTTTATTTTGTTATTTTCACCTCTTTTTTATACCTGACTTGTGATTATATAATATTGGATAGGTATATGAATAGAAAAATGGAACTCAAATTATTTTTTCATATTATTGCATATGGCAATGTGTTTACAACTGTTAAGATACTAAGATGTATGCTGTAAGTCTTTTTATGTCAGTCACCGTTACAAGACAGTTTGGTTTTCCACGAACGATGTAAAAAGATGTCCCTTGAAATTAGTTTATCTTTTGTATTTAATGTGAATTATATTGGTTCAATTGTAATATCTAATATTTTGTACTTATACAAAGAAGTTTTGAGTTAATATTCTACTTGTAAAAGATGTATTGTTTGTTTGTGTGGAAACGATCTCTTCCTCTAGGGGTGAATACAGGGCGTGGATGTGAGATCAGGCATGGATGTGAGGTCAGGAAAGTGATTGTAATCTCGTTTCAGCCATTGTATATCCTGCATTTTGGTATCATTTTACTCCCCAGAATTTAGGGTGATATTTCTGTGAATGGAGGAAGAGCCATGTTGTGAGATTGTCAGATAAATTACTAAATCAGTTGGGCCACAAGGCCATGGCGTGTCAATGTCTGTACTCTTGTTTTATTGTAAATATAATAGTTGTTAATCATCATAAATCAGAATAAAGAATAGTTTTCCTTGGATGTTTTCTCAGTGTGTTTATATTAAATGTCACCAACTATCATCCAGAAGTAGCAAGGAGTGTCTCCATGATCCTGGTTTGTTAACCACAGCTGTTACTTTAGAACGTGAGTCTGATTAATGGGCCTAGGAGTTAGAGCACTGCTGAAAGAGGAAGGTTATTCAGTAGTGGCCATGACTAAATACTTACACGTGGTAATTCTAAAAGTTATGCGAATTAGAGCGAGGCCTCTGCTCCACAGCAAACTTACATTTATATAATTCTGCACTAATTTTACTATTTATTGTACTCAAATACGTAGATATTATTCACTGAGGAATTTTTAGGAGTCAACACATGACATATGCTCTTGGGTAAGGCACAAATTTATACGGTCCAGTTTTATCACCAATACACTCACAATGCCACCACCACTAGGGGGGTAGACGGAGGTGAGAAGGTTACTGCTGCCTCGTCGCACACCAGTCACTATCCAGTCTGCACCACAGCTGCTACTTCCCCCGCTGTTCGATTCCAACTCTGGTTGTGTACTCATCTGAGGTTCCTGGGGCTCGTGGGCTGATTCCCCAGTCCTTTACTATTCGGCTGTCAACTCCGGTCACCTGCCGCGGCTGCCACGTGATTGCCACTTCCTCCACGCCCTATCCACCGTCCGTGACCTGGCGTTTCTCCTGTGTGGCAAGATATCGCCCACCAATGCCGGCTCCAAGTGAGGAAGCTGCCCTGGACCTTCCCCGAGAGTGGATCACCGCGTTACCAGAACATTCCACTGTGCTGGTTAGGAGGAATATTCATCTGCAGCCACAGGAAATACCTGTACTTTGTTGTAATGATTGTTTTGTTTCAAGTAATTGTTTGACTCCAGTGCTGTTTATTTAATATTTGTGTGAGTGGTGTCAGAGTTAAATTATTGTGATTATTTTCGTAGTAAAGAGATGTCAATCTCTAACGGTTGTTTGTTACCCCTTGGAAACCCATGGTTCTTGACTTTCCTTTTTAGAAGATCCTGATTAGGCTGGCAAGGGATTTATATCCCAAAGCCCAGGCCTTTACAGCCACCACCAGATCATGTTGTGTTGGTACCTTAAAATAATGAGAAATTATATATATTCTTCTCTCAACACGACAATACACATCCACCTAACCCTTGTCATTTTTGCTTGCTTGAAGTTTACATCTTTAACTGCCCATGTTTCACTGCCATACAACACAACACTTCTTATGCTGGCAAAGGGATTAATGGATTGATTGATTAGGTAAAATATCTGGCGTAGCAACCTGTGGCCATTTGGTGCCGAAAATGAAACCCAATTTAAAACTGATAAAATTAAATAAAACCCTATTAAGTTTAAATATCAAATTTAAAATAATATAAAATGTATTTAATTAAAATTACAAGCAGTTAAGTACAGTACTTTTATTGTAATTAAAAATTTAAAAAGTTCATCATTAGGTGCTGAACTTCTTGCTGAGCACTTTTGAGATGGAGAAGGATACATCCTCCTGCTGGTACTTGGCCAGGGCTAAAAATATATAAAACAATAGGGAGGATGGGATTAAAAAATCCATTGAAGATAAGTGCTGCTCTGGAATAACTAAAAATGATAAAACTAGTTTCTTAAGGGCTACGCATATAGCAGAGAGCTCTGCAGTATAAATAAAGATGGGAAGTCCCCACTGCAGCTAAAATCAGGGAAGAGGACTCTAAACCCAACACCAGCGTCGGATTTGGAGCCATCTGTATAAACATGCACCGAGCCATCCTGCCAAGTTGCATATTCCTAGAATTACATCCTGGCCATCATTTCATTAACATCAGCCATGCTCCCTGGGAAGTAACGACAGAAGTGCACCTCTGGCAAGTCCCACGGTCGACACTTTCACTAGGCTGACCTGGAGTTTGGAGAAGTGATAATCTGTTAACCAGCTCCCAGACAGAAGAGCCAAAGGATCTAGGGGATGTGTGGGTGAAGAATAAATCTATGGTCCATGGATCTATCTGATATGGTTTCCCATGTTGGAAATCTAGGGAGATGCTGTATTTGGTACCAGCAGCAAGCCATTAGAGACTGCTGATGCATATCCAGTGGTGGTACTCCAGCATCCACCAGAAGACTGGTTACTGGGGATTATCTAAAGGTTCATGTGGGCAAACGGTTGCCAGCATGATGTATTGTATCGATGGTCTTTAGCCTGGCTGATGTGGCTGAGCCACTTAAGGGTACAGCTCACATCCATATGCCAGCTTTGACCCCACAATAGCATGGTACAGTCTCAAGAGGGTCCTACGGTTAGCACCCCAGGACTTGTGGGGTAAGACCCTCAGAAGGTTTAGGACTTTTAAGCATGACGTCTTAAGTGACCTAAGGTGGAGAATCCAGGTCAATCTACCTACCACCAGGCCTAGGAAGAGTGTCTCTTCCAACACCAAGATGTGTGTACCATATGTTAAGTTGGAGTCGGTGGGGACCCTGGATCTGGCAGAAATGCATGGCTACAATCTTTGAAGTTGAAAATCTGAAGTCACACTCCTCTGCCCATAGTGACGCTCGAATCACTGCCAAATGAAGTTGTCGCTCAGCAACACACAGATGGGATGATGAAAAACTAATTGCTAATCATCTACATAAAGTGTGGTAGAGACCCCTGGTGGAAGACATCAGGTGACACCATTAATTGTCATGGTAAAAAGGGCCACGCTGAAAATTGTGTCCTGTGGTATCCCCTCCATTTGATGAACTGATCTGGAAAGTGAGGTACCCACTCTTGCCTGAAAGGCACGGTTGCCATGAATTATTTAAGGAAATGGGGCATCCGTCCTTGGAGTCCACTGTGATGTAGCCTTTTTTTTAAATCCCAAACCTTCAGGCTGTATCGTATGCCTTTTCTATATAAAAAAAAAATACTGTCAGGCCATAGGCTCATCACACCCAATTCAGATCTGAGCAGTGGAAGGTCCTTTTTCTATCAGAAATGTTAACAGCTCCTTAAACTTCTTTCAGTAACTTATGACTTGCAACTGAGCTAGTTTTGGCACCCCTCCAACACTGATCATATCACCCAGGCTGCCAGTTATACCTCTGCACCTATTGTATACCTACTTACTGCACATTATGAACTCGCTGCCAATACTTCTTACATACACCATCATCATCATCATTTTACAGCAAGCTGTGAATGGGTATATAACTATACAGTTGGGAAGTGAAAGCAGTGCTAACTACAATGTACGATAGGCTTTATACATGCTTGTTGTTTCTGCACTATCCCTACTTTGTCTGAAAATGTGAACAGAATGTTTTTGTGTACATATTCATGTGATATGTATTTCACCATAAGCAATTACTATACATACATCAATTGACTTTAGTTTTGTTGAACTTCATTGGATGTGAGCATAATGTAGGTTAAGAAGACTTCTGTGTGTGGAGGCATTCAAGAATATATATTACCTGATTCTTTGTATCATATACTTGAAGTTTTTACACTTTTGCAAGACCTTTCCTGCTACAGTGCAGTACGGCCATTACCTGAAGTAATTCTAAAATATAGCACCACTAAGATAAAATGTTTATATGGCAGATGACAAAGTGCAACAAACTCAAAAGGTTTTAGGTAAACGGCATTATCCTGAAATAAAATCTGCTAATAAAAACTATATCCTTTGCGATAATCTTGTTACCACTGATCACTAATTTATGAGAAAATTGCACTCTTATTAAGAATAGGATAAACTTAAAAGTCTAACATTGGGCAGGGAAAGACAGTTATTTAAGAAAATTTTGGAATCATGTCCTTGGAAGAACCATGGAGGAACACATTCTGGGAGACAAAATTAAACATTTATAGTAGATGAAAGGATAACACTGACCAACATAAGATGTTCAACAGCAGCTTTACTGCATGAAACCCAACCCCACCTTTATTAAAAATTTTATTATGGTCTAGTGTAGCAGGTCCCAGCAGAATTTACAATTACAATACGGTATGTACAGGGAAAGTGTCTCTCTGAAATGTTCTTCCACAATTTAAACACAAATTTGTAAACTACTTTCTTCAAAAATTCATTGTGGTCTTGCAGTACATATCCCAGGAAAATACAATTGTAGTAATTACATGAAAAATGTAAACTTCCAGCTTACACTGTATGAATATGCCCTGTTTCTGCAAGACTGAATGAAAGTCAGCCTATTATATCTGTGCAATCTGTAGTAAATTAATCTGTAAATCATTTAAACTGTGGATTAAAACCGAGCTTTGGGAATTCCATAGCCATCATTGCCACTTAAAAAACCAACTCTCTTCATGGGGTAGTCATGTTCCTCTTCTATGCCCTATTCATAAATTTCCAGGCTGGCAAGTCTACTTCTTCTTAGAGTAGAACTTGTTATTAAGTAAGTAGAGAAGAAGGTTGACATTAACTTTAACTTTGGAGAACATTTTCTTGACACTCACACCTTCATATTGTAACTGAAGCAATTCCTGCAAAAATAAGATGTCCTCAGATATAAGGATTCCCTCACAAAACTCCACAACCACAAACAACAGCACTAAGTGTCAATAACAAAAAAGTTGTGTGTTAATAGTCCTATTTTACTTTGTCTCAAATCAGTAACAATTTGCCATTTGTACTAAATGCTTTGCATTGGGATGATTCAGATACTGAGAGCTTTATTCAGTAAGGGTCTTAAGTCTAATATCTAAAAACTAAGGTACTGCATATCTTTATAACTTAATATAATGGAGAATAAAAATAAATAAATACACAACTTGAGATAACTGCTGAATTTTGCTGTGTAAATAACCATTAAGAATTTTAAAGACAGAAAATCAAACTTGGGCCACCACTGAGTTAAGCTATCAAAATGAAAACCTTCAGGTACCTCGCTGGATATGAATTGTGCCGAGGATAAACTTTTAATAATTTTGTTTAAAGGTTTTATGAGAGTACATTATCAATGGTTCATACATTAAATGTATTTTAACAGCCTTTGGAATCACATATGAATATACAAAGATTTTTTTTATGTGAAAAGAATGAGAAAGAATGAGATTGTCTCCACAAAACATGGGATATATATTTTTAAGGTTTATGTGCAATATGAACACTCCCTCATGGATACAGCTACAAAATTCGACCAGTGTGGTTGTTTGTTAACACACTCGTAAACAGACACGCATAAGTGGCGTTTTGATTTAATGGAAATGAAACTTTTGCCTTGCAATCAGACACGCTAGCACAGCGATTTTTTTATATTTTTTTTTCTCAAAATGAATACCACTTTTGTTACAACCACTCTCCTACGCAGAACCAAGCCTTACAGCCAAGTGACAACCCGCCTAGGTGCAGTAGACTAGACGTTATTGTGCCACAGTCGTCAGTGTGCATCTTGCTTTCTAAGTGATGGGTGTGGGTGTCCAGGGCCTTATTGCCTCTCATCTCAATATATTTATCCCTTACAACCTGGATATTTATTTTTATGAAGTGATAAAGTGATGTGTAGTGAAATATTTTTTAATTTATGAGACCTTGGTGTAATGGCTATTCACAATAGTCGCATATACCATACAAAAGCATGTCGTAATATATAAGGCTTGCTTGGAAAAATAATAGGTGATAGTGAAATGTAGTGCAGTAGAGGCATGCGTATGAGTATGGTGAATTATAATGAATACAGTCATGCGCCGGTTAACGTCCTAGATACGTTCTTGGAAACGTGATGTTAACCGAAATGGACGTTGTCCGAAATTACATAAACCTATCGGATTTATTCTAATGGGGGTTCCAAGCACCCAACCCCAAGTTTCCCATTTTACAACCCTTTAGACCCACTAAATATATATATATATATAATGTTATGGTAAATATCATAAACACACATAGGCATGGCTAGGTTTATTACAAAGTGATGAAAAGGATAATGTAAAGTGGGTAGTCCACAAAACATGTAGCTATGTTTCTCTTTATTTGAGTGCCCCGTCAAAGAAGTCCGTTTTCTCTCACTTCAGGACACCCGAGTCGCCCGTTTTCTCTTAATCTTAGAGTGCAGTGCACCAGAGACTTATTTATTCCTTAGTAATGACACAGAATTTGAAATTGCAACTGGGGTTGCAATTGCTGCGGCAACTTAAATAAGTCTGATTACAGTTGGAATATTCAAGATCCACTGTGATGTTTAAAGCTTCAACTGTCTTTATGGTTGGTAAAACTTGTCAAGTCTGTCAGTCTGAGTGGCATGTGTGAGGCCTTGTGTTTGTACAACCGTTAATATATAAATATATAATGTTATGGTAATTATCAGAAACACACATAGGCATGACGAGGTTTACTACAAAGTGATGAAAAGGATACTGTACAGTGGGTAGTCCACAAAACATGTAGCCATGTCTCTTTATTTGAGTGCCCCGTCATAGGAGTCCGTTTTTTCTCACTTCAGGACGCCTGAGTCGTCTGTTTTCTCTTAATCTTAGAGTGCAGTGCACCAGAGACTTTGTTATTTCTTAGTAGTGACACAGAATTTGAAATTGCAACCCCAATTGCAACTGGAGTTGCAATTGTTGAGGCAACTAGATATGTCTGATTACAGCAAATGTGTTATTGTCAATTTGAGGGTGAAAGATTTTATCCTCAATAGATGTAGGTTAACATTACACCTGGAGGCAAATGTTTAAAAAAAGCCTAATCAAGGAAGCATATTCCTTTAACATAATATCTGACCAGTATGGGGAGGATCATCGTGTCTCCGTCAGGGGGTCGTGGAGTAGTGGTCCAGCAGGCGTCACGGAATTTTGGGGGCACGGACGTATATACGATCGGACGTTGTTTGGTCGGACGTTAACCGGTGCATGACTGTATTGCACTTATTTGGTACATATTTGTAATGCCACTGTCATGCATATGTCAAGGCCTACCTCATCTCAGTGGTAAGTGGAAATATTACTGCCAAAATTTAAGTTTTTGTCACAGAAACTTCTAACTGGACTATTTCTCTTCCTTAGTATGTGTACAGTAATAATGTCATAAAAAGCATACTTTCTAAAGACGTAAAATAAACAAGCAATGAAAAAAAAAGTGTAGTATAAACATATATATTTCAACAGCCCATATACGCACGGACTGCCATTAGCCGGAATCCCTCAAATCTGGAACTCTCCGATAACCGTAATTGAAATTTTCTCGGAAAATCGTTCCCAAAAAATTTTCCGGAAAATTAGGCCTTTGGGAGTGATTTTCAAGGAACACATTTTCTGGAAAATTCAGAGAAAAATTTCCCAACAATAATGGGAAAATCCTCTTACAAATAATCAGAAACAAGACAACAAAATGTAAAAAAAAAGTCTTGATTATTTGTGAGGGAATTTTCCCATTATTATTTATTTGTATGTGTTTTGTGTGTCTGTGTCTACACACACACATATATATATATATATATATATATAATACAGCTAAAGGGAATTACTGTCTCTAGAACGAATGGCTCCCTGTCCCAGCCGCAAAAATGCTGGCAACTTTAAAACTACCCACAGACATTCTTGGATACATCCAGGGTATCATTTTTGGGGGGTCAGCGGTCAGTCCCCAAAAAAAAGGGTCTCTCCCTCTCCTCACACCTCCTTACTCCATACTGAATTTTAAAATGTTATGTAACGTAATGTTGAAAGGATACAGTACAGCTATTAAATAATTGAAAGAATGATATATAATTTGTATAGTGATAAGAACATCTGTGGTAAAATGAATAAAATTGAACAACTCCTTCTGGTGGTAGCGGTTTCCTCATAAATTACCGGCTAATGAATTATATATGAATCATTAAGAAACTGTACAAATTGTGTTTGGATGCATAGTCTGGAAGAGATAGCAGATGGTGGAGAAGGAAGAGGGAGGACAAGTCACCTCCCGGCCTGCGCTTGTCTGCCCACCATCCCTTTATGACAGTGGTGTCAAACTTAAAACCTTTTTAAAGCCAATTCTTATTTTAGTTACCTTCTTCAGGGTCAACACAATGCTATATAACATATTTGCAGGATCGAAGTTTACAGTTTCATACATTGCCTTACCTGGCTTACCAGGAATACCTCATTTGGGTTTGCCTGATCTTAAACATGTAAAATTCATTTTACTTTATACACATGATTAACTCTAATAATACAAAAAGAAAAAATATGAACCTGGACTGAACCCGTACACTGGCGAAGCCTAGCGCAAGGCGGTGGTTAGCGGGTTTGATGCGACCGGCATATGTACAAAGTTCCCTACAAATCTTATATATTTTCATTTCAAAGGATTGGCTACTCACCAATTCTACATATAGTTAGTCATAGCTATAGATAACCGAGTGATTAAAAAGCAAAGCATAACTCGTGATTTCTCCAAAGAAGTGGAGAGGGTCCAACAGCGTACACCAGTTCTCCTCGTCTGTTTAGCCTAGTGTTGCATCGTTTGGCTACTGTCTTTGTTCAGATGCCAGTAATGGCTGCAGCTTCGTTTTTTAATTCTTTAGGAATTTCGATTTATAAGCAATTTTCCCTTTACAACAATGTTATTACTAGCATTAACAATATAAATTCACTAATTGCCACAATGACGTAGAATATCATTTCGGAATTTACTGTCTCTTTCATATCTGCACCTTTTCTTTCATATCTATTTCTATCATAATTTCACGGGTTGGTAAATTTTACCGTCATCCCTTGGGCCACACCTGACCATCCTAAGGGTCACATTTGGTCCGCGAGCCATGAGTTTGACACCCCTGCTTTGTGACAACGGTATGCAATTCACCATAATTACCCTATTACTTAGGTTCATTTGGTGCCTGGTTAAGAAAACATTATAAAAAAAATAATAAATTTCCCCCAAATCCCACACTTAGTCCTAGATGAGCTACTGCGCTGTAGTATATTATTAGTCTCTTGTTTACAGAGAGGTAACAGCAGATGATTCCACTGACACCACTCTCCCCAATACAGTAAAGTTGCCAGCACTTGCCATCTCACTGGCCATTGTTGTCACCCTTTATACAGTAAAATACTTATTTGTATATTATTATTTGGCTTGTCATTTAATTTTTATGGAAACTGCTAATTTTGTATTGTGTTTTTCTAAAGTAGTATTTAATATCTTATTTTATCAATGACAAAACAAGACCACCTCAGGTTATGAGACCCACTAATCCTCCACCCAGGAAAGGGAGACCTGACATTCCATCAGAAGGTCAGTAATATGAGACCAATAATCCCCCACCCTACTTCCACCTGACATTGTCAGGTCAGGTCAAGTCTCCCCCAAAAATACTTTAGCTTTTGTCTTTATTTAAGACATTTTCAGAAAATGCTCTTGATTTTCAACCTTGGAATGATTTTCCGAGAACTTTTAGTTCCGGCTATTGGAGAGTCCCGGGTTTGAGGGATTCAGGCTACCGGTAATGGAGATACAGTAAAAGTCCAAAAATCCGGATGCCAGAAATCCGGACCACCTGAGAATCCGGACTTTTCGAATTTTTAAATTTAGTGGGCTTTTGTGGGTTACGTGAATGAATGGAGTTGCTTTAAAAAAATTAATTTACATAATTCTAATAATAAAAGTACAGGTAATTGTAAATTATAGGTAGCTAATTTTGTTAGTTTTGTAATTAGCTTGTCCTGAAATGTAAAATTTGAGGCACTATAAATCTTTTGTGTGTGTGTGCATGCGTGAATGCCACAGCTGCACAAAAACAACAAGCGACCACGCGTTCGCCACTTTAAAACAAGCAATCCAACGGTGACAACGTATGTAATTTTGAGTCCTACTCTTTCCATTTACAGAGTACAAGCCCATTATAATGGCTCCTAAAGTAGATAAACTTTGTTGTGTGAAGAGAAAGAAGAACACATTGAAATTGAGTGACAAATTTGAAATAATTAAGAAACTAGAACGTGGTGTGAGCAATACTGTTCTAATGGAAACATACGACATTGGAAAGTCTACAATTTATGATATAAAAAAGGCAAAGAATAAAATTCAAGAATTCACAGCTTCTTCTGAGCCTTACATTAAAATTGCTGAAAGAAAAAGTTTACATCGGCCCAAATTAGAAAATCTTGATAAAGTGTTGCAAGAATGGTTTTTGTTAAAACGATCAGAAGGTATGGCAATTTCTGGGCCGATGCTTATTGCCAAAGCAAAGTCTTTTAAGGAGCAAATGAACATTGAATCAGAATGCACATTTAGTGATGGATGGCTTAGGAATTTCAAGACTCGTCATGGTATTAGACAGTTTGTTTACATTTTGTCAAGTGTTGACTTTATTTTTCTTTAAAACTGCTCGTTTTGATAAATGAAGCATGCTTTATTTGCTAATGAATAAACTATCAAAATGTACCTGTTCATCTCTTCTTTATTCCTCCTTAAATTTGAATTTTAAAAGTACTGCATGAGAATCTGGAAAATCCGAAAATCTGGACCGACCCAATCCCCAAGCAGTCTGGATTTTTGGACTTCTACTGTATTACTGTAGTAGGTTGTTTTGGGGTCACTTTTAGAACTAATATTGTCATAAACTTTACAATTTTAACAAGCTGGTATATCTCACCCCCTTAATGAGCAGCAAACAATAGTTCAGTGTCATACTTAGTATGATAAACTATGGGGTGACAATGTACAGTAAACACAAATGATAAGCTCACCTGGATATCAATCTCAACATTTTCCATGGACACACCCATAAACTTGGCTTGTACATGGAAAATCCCTGTGGTGGCCAAAGGAGTGATTTCAAACAGGAGATTCTTCTGTTGAGATTCTGGCAGATCTTCAACCTCCAACAATACTCCCTTCTCTATTAGTTTTGTAGCTGTGTATTTGATGGCCTGCTTTGATCGAGCCTTCTCCCCACCCTGTTTGCCTGATGTGTGATGCACATTTCTGAAAATAAAGTGAACGAGTTACCATACACTAGTCTGTAAATGAAACAAAATATAAATATTGTTAAGGTGGAAGGATACAAGTGTGGAAAATGACAATACATTGGTGATGATACTGTGACTGCCTTTTCTTTCTTTTTTCGGGGAATAGCCTACCCAGGCACAAGTCATCGACCTACAGCTTGGCCTGGGAGGCAAAAAAAAAAAAAAAAGTGTAAATGTTAGGTTTTGTGGGAGTAGATCCCAAAAGGCTGAGACCATTGTTGAAATTCATTGTCAGACACTAAGAAATTGTAGTACAGAATATCTTGACACAACTCACTTGTTTCTGGCAGCAATATTCTTGAGGCATGTCTTTAGGTAAGTGTGGTATGACTCCAGCTGTTCCTTGTAAAACTTTTCCTTGTCTTCAAGCTGTTTGGCTGTTCCTAGTAATCGCTGAAGCTCCTGTCAAGTAATTAACATTTGTTTTTTGTGTCTATGATATAAATAAACTTTAACATAATGCATTATATTCCTCAATATTTACACTGCTATTTGGTTGTTACTATATTTCACTGTTCCTCTAACAAACACCTTTCTCTCGATAATGCAAGGTGGCTAGAATCAACAGCAACACAGAATCTCTCATTCACTTCCATTCATTCCATCTAGCTGACTCAACAGATGTACTCTAGAGAGGCGCCTTCCTTAATAAAATTCCTATTTACCTTTTGCAGCTGGTACAGTTAAATACATCTTGTGTTTCAGGGTGCCCACAGTTGTCTTATGCTGAAAAATCCTATCTTACAAAATTAAACGTATATTGTAATTTGTGGTCTCCCCCAGAATTGCCCTTTCCAGCAATTCATTGAAGTCCTAAGTTAAAATGATGACTGGTAGGCCACAATTTCTCATTTACTAATGTGTGAGCTAAACAATGTACTCTTCTACTTACCCCTACTGCACAGTACATACACTAACCTAAGTACTGGTATGGTTTAGCTATGTTCCTATGCTTTCAGAGGTGATAGTATATTTAACCCTTTCACTGTGGTGATAGTACTTTTAATATTTTATTTGGCTAATGCCAGACGATTTTATTAAGCTCAGAGGCTACCCGATACAGAAGACGTTAGTAGACTACACTACAGTAAAACCTCGATAAATCGGACTTCTATATATCGGAATTTGCTTTTTTCGGACTCTGAGATGCTCTGGTCTCCAGTAATACTAAAAAAAAAAAAAAAAAAAAAGGGGGGGGGGGGGAGATTAATAACCAAAAAATCTTATGGAATGAGCAACACTTACTGAATACTGTACAGTGGTCTAATTAGATTTGCTTTACGCCAACTGAAAACTAAGACACTTAAGTATGTAAGCAGGCTGAGGCTGATTAGGTGTTGCTGCATTCGTCAGGTATATTTATTTATTGATTCAGTATTATATTCCCATATGATTGGTCTCTTATGATTTACGGTTCATCATGATTAATGTAACATCTTCAGTAATAGAGAAAAAATACAATACTGTATGTAATTTGTAATATAACTTGAAAATAAAAGGATAAGCTGTATCAGAAGGTTATTTACTCAAGATGCATTTGTGTGACAGCTTTCTGCAGACCAGCTTACAACAGGGGTCACTACAACACACTGTGTATTATTTGTTATGAAGATGCCTTCTTAAAAATGTTATTTACTTCCTTTGAGTGTCATATTATGACTCAGTTTGGCTACTTGTACACTGAGACAAATGATTAATGAATAAACCAGGGTATACGCAAATGCATAATACTTTACACTACTACAATATTACTTATTGATGATAAATACACTATAGTAGTATTTATTAAGTGATAAATACATTGCAATAGTATTTATTAAATTATGATCAATACACAACTGTACTGTACTAATTTACTGAGTGATGAAGACAGACTTTGTGGTAAGCCGATGAGCTGTTTGCTCTTTGTAAACAATGACTCGTGGTGTTCAATGTGGGATTCTTTTTTCAGGAAAGCTGATTCTTTTAGGATAATATTTTATCAACCTGGCACCAAATGATCCTAAATTTTGAGAATTGTAATGGAAATGCATAAAGAAGTGTTAAAGGAATTTTGTGGGAGTTAGGGGGAGGGAGCCACCCACCCGTGCTACCCCCCTACCAGTTGCTCCCAGATAAATACTCATCTTCCACATACAATAAACTCCTACATTTATTTTTTCATATTTTTATCTTTATAGTACTGTACTGTACAGTATACAGTTTTCTCTTTATTCATAAAACAAATTCTGTGGTTACTTACATATAACACTTTACAGTAAATAACAATCATCTCGGACAAAACAGTTGTCGACAACCAAACTTAAGTCTGATTTTCAACCCAGAGTTCTGTTTCATATTTTTTTATTGTTGATGTAATATTCTTTTAATAACCTTGTTATACAGTTAAAGACCTTAGTTGTTGAATTGCATTAATAACAGAACTGATTTTCTTTAAACAGTTCAGATAAGCAGTGTTATCTTCAACTCCCCCTGGCACCATATATTTGCTTTTTTCAAGCTTCCACGTTTTTCTGACTGGGGTCTGCCCCAAATAGTCCGATTTATCGAAGTTCTACTGTATATCCACTATCACCTTCAGTCAGGGGATTCCACTCTTAATATTTTATTTGGCTAATGCCAGATTATTTTATTAAGCTCAGAGACAATCCCCATACAGAAGGGGGTTTGTAAACTATCTCCATTAACCCCTTCACTCAGAGGCGACCATGTACACAAGGGGTTAATGTGTGTGTATATAGAGAATCATGCTGAATTTAAACAATTTAAATTCAATTCTTTCAAGATAATTATTAAATTCAAAGAAAGTGTGTCCAAATTAAAAGATAATGTGCAGGGTAGCTATACCTGTATATTGTCTTTGTTCATGGCTTACAAGACAAAAATATGAATCACAAAATTCTTATAGTCTATCATACATAGTTACACAATGCAGTTATGGAGCAAAGTTTGATGTGCTTTGTGGGACACGGGATCCATCTTCTATATGATTTTTATTAAAAAAGCAAGATACATATGTCAATGTCTACAAGACATGGCAGCTAGGCTTTCGTTGTCAAAACATGTTATTAGACATTCAAATAAATGTAAGTCAGTAGTGCTTTAACTGTCACCAAAATAACACAACATCGTCCTAGTCTTGGGAAAGGATTCAGGTAATTCTTCTTACAATAATAAATCATTTCAAAATCCTATTGAGCCACAGTCTCACCTAATGTAGTGCATCACACTTTAGCACTTCTCAACTTCATTCTGCAATTCCTTATTATCTAGATTTGGCTTTATGTTTTCATGAATGGAGGACAGATTCTCCCAAATTACTGATAATAAATGTATTTATCTTTGTGAGACATAACTAACATAGCCATGAAAACAAACCCAATGAAAGACCTCTAAACTCTTTGGCACACATCATAAAATCTTGATTTCATAAACTTCTTAATAAATCCCAATCTTACACAAAAGATTAAAAAAATTTCATGGCCCTTAAAAAATATGCATTTTCCTGACAGATGGGAACTTAACTAAGCAATACTTCTGGAAACACGTCTGATCCACCCCTCTCATGCAAACCGCCTCATATGCACATAGATTACATACTGGTACATATATATATATAACCCTTATACACTATCTTCCTGAAGCAATATGTTCTCTTTCTACTCACAAAGATGTTTTTACACAGAGCATGACACACATTAATCAAGATTTTCCTTTTCATGTAACATAAGAGAAAAAGAAAGATAAACATTGGACTTTTTTTCCTCACCATTTTCCTAGATATTCGGTGTTGTCTTTGGTTAACAATGTCACTGGCAACAGCATTGAGAAGAGTCTGATAGTTGTCTGATCGTGAACCAAGACCCTGATTTTCAAGCCGACGAAGGTTGTGACTCAGGCGGGTCTTTACTTCATGAAGACTAACTCTGAAAACATTAATATAAGTTGTACACTCAACAAAAACTTTTAAAAAACCTGGGCACGATTGATGTGAGAATGAGCAGAATGGAGCTTGTCATCTTGGAATTATTTCATATTGCATCGTGCTTATAGCGATGAGAAGTTTTTGGTGGGAGTGTAATGATATAGCAAAGTGACTCACCTTATTCTCCTTTAAACAAATATATATAAACAATAGAACCTGATACAGACAAGAACTTTGGCAACAGAAAAACATTCAAAGGTTGTCATTATAATTCTAAGTAGAAGACCCCTAAAAAAAAATGAAAGTATGGCATTCAATGGACTTCTCATTCAACAAAGATAATAAACTACCAGTGCAGTAACACTGAATGATGGAATACTTTTGTGTTTAGAACTTATGTGCAGCTGATTTTTTTCTCCAGGTGATTTCCAAGTGCCCTCTTAGCTGCCTTGCCCAGGTCTCACTCCATAAAATTGAGATGGTAACAGGAAGAGCAACCAACTTCAAATTTGCCTGATGGTTACCGGGATACCTACCCATTAGATTACTTTAGGTATCTCTAAATCACATTCTAATTGTTGTGCGTCTGTTCATAAATTGCAAACCACTTGTCACAATGAAAGGAGTCTTGTTAAGTACAAGCATCCCTCATTTAAAAATGAGGTTATGTTCCTGAAAAACTTAACATTAAGCAAAATTATCGCTAAACGAGGGATAACAGCAAGGCATGGAGGGCATACAACAGGTTCAAACAGTAGGGCGGTACAGACTGAGTACAGTACTGTACTTCCAAACAATAATAATAAACAATTTTGTTATAAACACCTTCGAACTTCAACAGCTGCTTTTTAACACTAAACTTCTATATTAACGATGTGGTTCAGAGTTAAACAATTTAGTGAACAAAAGGTGAGCCTAATTTAAAAACATTTCAAACTGCATACATAAAAAATGAACAAAAGTGCCATGATCAACAATAAAATTAATACATAGCATACAGTAAACCCTCGCCAACCACGGATTCCAGGTATTCTAGGTTTATACTCTGTACATTACAGTACAGTCCTGCGCCGGTTAACGTCCGACCGAACAACATCCGATCGCATATACGTCCGTGGCCACCCCCCCCCCCCAAAAAAAAAACACGTGACGCCTACCGGACCACCACTCCACGAACCCCTGACGGAGACACGATGATCCGCCCCATACTGGTCAGATATTATGTGTTAAAGGAATATGCTTCCTTACTTAGGCTTTTCTAAGCATTTGCCTACAGGTGAAATGTTAACATACATCTATTGAGGATAAAATCTTTCACCTACAAATTGACAATAACACATTTGATGTAATCAGACATATCTAGTTGCCTCAACAATTGCAAGTTGCAATTGGGGTTGCAATTTCAAATTCTGTGGCATTACTAAAAATAGTAAAGTTTCTGGTGCACTCTAAGATTAAGAGAGAAAACGGAGGACTCAGGCGTCCTGATGTGAGAGAAAACGGACTAGTATGACGGGGGACCAAATAAAAAAAGCATAGCTACATGTTTTGTGGACTACAGTATTAAGCATACCCTTTTCATCACTTTATAACCCTCGCTTTACGCGGTCCCACATTCTGCGTTTCCACGTTAATGCGGTGCCCTGCCAGAACCTAACGTGCTCACATTACGCGGTGCGTGAACCCCATTACGTGGAGAGTGTCCGGCTCGACGCTATTTTTAGATTCGCCCCACCCGCCTGCCTGCCTGTGCTCTCGCCTCTCCCTCCTCCTCCCTCCGCCTGGGCAAGCCGCACGGTAAGGTTGCACAGTGTGTGTCTTTGTTGCGTTATCACTGACGTCATATGACGTATCGGACTGTGATTGGCCATGCATCCCTACCCCCCTCTGCTGCTAGCTGTAATTGGCTTAAAGTATTATGACGTGTCCACCCGGGGGAGGGAGGGAGGGAGGGAGGGAGGGAGGGAGGGAGGAAAGACGATGCGTGACCTAGCCACGCCAGTTTCATCCCTCCACGCCAGACCGTGTAAACGTGTATCCATTGTTCTGTAAAATGGCTTCCGCCGGACCACCGCCCCCAGAGAGAAACCTTTCCTTACCTGGACCCAGCGGCACTAAGCCAAAGAAGACACGACGTTCCTTAAGCTACGAGGTGAAGTACAAGATCATCCAAGAGTTGGAGAAAGAAACAAGGCAGGTTGATTTGGCGCGCCAGCATGGTGTGAATGAATCTACGATTCGAACAATAAAGAAGGATGCAGCCAAGATAAAGGAGCACATGAAGATCACAAAGTCTACAGGTGCTTCTATGATCAAGTATTTTCACAACTAGGTGCTTCTGAAGACAGAAAAATTACTTGTGAGGTACTTGGTGCGTCAGGCGCGACGGAACATGGCGGTCGACACGCGCTCTGTTAAGGACTACGCACGTGAACTGTACATCGCAGTGGCACGAAAGATGGGAACTACAGAGCCCAAACCCTTTAATGCTTCCTCTGGGTGGTTACAGAGGTTTAAGATCCGGAACAAGATCACCAATATAAACATTGGTGGTGAAGAAGCAAGTGCTGACCGTGCTGCGGGTAGGGAATTTCCTCCGTTTTTACGTGAGATTATGGAGGAAGGACAGTACAGTGACGACCAGGTGTTTAACATGGACGAATCTGGTCTTTTCTGGAAAAAGCTACCTTCCAAGTCCTTCGTTGTAAAGAATGCCAGCAAGATTCGGGGCCGGAAGATGCAGAAGGAGCGCATCACCGTCCTGTTTACCACCAATGCCTCCGGTACCAGTAGGCTTATGTTATCGGTGATCCACACAGCACGCAAGCCGCACGCCTACAAAACCATGGACATGACCAAGCTAAATGTCCACTGGCTGACCGCACGTAAGGCGTGGATGTTCTCTACACTGTCCCTCTCCTGGTTTGATAACTGTTTTGTTCCCGATGTAAAGGAATTCTGTGAGCGACAGAATGTGCCATTCAAGATTTTGTTGCTGCTGGACAACGCACCAGGACACTCGCCCCTACTGTTAGATCGTCACCCCAACGTAAAAGTGGTCTTCCTTCCTCCCAACACTACGTCTATATTACAGCCCATGGACCAAGAGTTAATCTGTAATGTAAAAGCTGCATTCTCTACGAAAAAATTCAAACTCCTGAACGACTACACCAACACCAGGGAAGAGTTGCGTAACCTGAGTGACACCACCACCGATAGCAAGAGCGAAGAAGATGAGGATCAACAGTTGGCACAGCAAAAAATACTGTTCAAACAATTCTGGAGAGTATTTAACATCAAGAAAGCTGTGGACTTCTTGGTGGAGTCATGGGATCAGCTGTCTATTGCTACAATTCGTCACGCATGGAGACATGTGTTGCATGGAATACCAGGTGAGAGGAGGAGTCAATCTGTGACTGGTGAGGTTCAGACTGTTGCAGTAGCAGTGGACCTTGCCAGAGAAGCTGCGCAGTGTGTTACAGTTCCAGGCTTCTCCAAGACCACCAACGACGACATCATGGAGGTGATAATGGAACCTGATGTGACTACCGAGGAGATGGTACATGATGATGACGACGTCAGTGAAGAGGCAGGTGGTGCGTCATCCCAAGAAGAACAACACTTATCCCATAGTAATGTTAGGGGTGCCATCGAGTGTATCGAGAAAGCCAAGCTCCTCCTTTCCGACGACCCTGACGCAAACAGGTATGAAATCTTCACTACCCAGCTGTTGCAGACTATGGAGCCCTACATCAAGGTGTATCACGACAACATCAACACCAGCCATCAGCAAAGCATAACAGATTTCTTCGCCCGCAACCCACCACAGCCAGCCCAAGCCAGTGATAGTGACAGTGAAGATGACTTTGAGGGATTTGTCAGGGAAGCCCTGACAACTGTAAGTGACAGTGATGGTGATTCACCTAGTAATGGTGATTCACCTGAGGGCCAGTAGCCTGCCCTCTGCCTCGGAACCAGCCTCCATCCCCGTACGCAGACCCATCTCTTCTACTAACGTAAGTGTTCCACCTAGCTTTTAGTTTTCCTAACCTAACCTATATTTTTCCTATGTTAACCTTTATTTTTCCTAACCTAACCTCTTCTATATTACTTGTTTTTTCATACCATCATAAAGTTAAGATAAAATTTTTACTACAACATAGTTGTGTGTCGTCAAAAAGTGGAGTTTGGGGGTCGGCCCGGACTCTATTTCAATTAATCCCATATGTTATGTTATTCACTTTACGCGTTCCTCACTTTCCGCGGGACCCTGCGGGTTACATTAACCGCGTAAAGTGAGGGTTGACTGTATATATATCTCGCGGGTCTAAATGGTCGTAAAATGGGTGTCTGAACCAATTAGAATAAATCCCATAGATTCTGTACTTTCGTTATCGGTGGGGTCCCAATTAGGCATGATAACGAAGGGATGACTGTATATACTTGTGACACTGGCCAGTTGCTTCCGGTGTTATGGTACAGGGGTATCAAGTGACAGCACTAGGATCCCGCTTCCTCTATCAAGGAATAAACAATTAAAATTTAAATTGAAAAACAAAACAATAAAATAAATTACTATCATACAAGAATCCCTCCAATGTAAGTTATATTCACCCAGGTCGTTTGGGTGGAAAATTATGAGAAGAGCTTAGGCACTCTTAAGTAATGATAAATAAACACATAGGCCTTCAGCGCCAACTGTCAAATCTTATCTCAAATAAATAAACAAACAAACGGCAGACATTCTGTCACCTCACCCCCCTCCCCCTCTTCCCACCACCATCGTGTTCAAGATAAAAGAGTGGTGATTTCTTTACGTATGTTTATTTTATATAATATCTCAGACTAGAGTTACGATAATATAAATTGCATTGCTGAAATCCTTGCAAGACAGAGATTAATTTGAATATAAACGTCATATATTTTGCTCAAGATATAAAAAATGTAGTACATTAGTGTACAATACACCTAGACCCCGACTTACGACTATATGGACTTACG